GCTCTGCCTTGGGTCGACCACTCCAGAAGAAGGTGTAACCGGCACCCACCTCCTCCAGTTGGCCTTGTTCAGAGAATAGGGTCTCGCTGAGTGCGGCGATGTCTACCTTGTAACGCGCCAGTTCTCGTGCCACTAGCGCCGTTCTCCGTTCCGGTCGGTTGCTCCTCGGATTGTCTAAAAGGGAACGAACATTCCAGGCTGCCAGAGTGAGCGGGCTCACCCTGCCAGTCTGGAGAAAACGAGTGGGGCGACGGGAAGGAGGTGGAGAAGAAGATGACGAAGGAAAAGAATAGGCAGAGGAATAGATGGAGATAGAGGTAGAAGAGGTAGGATGAGGAGAATGAGTATGGTTGTTGTTGTTGTTGTTTCGAGTTTGATTGTTTCGACCGTGAGTTTTGCGTCTGCGACCACGGTGCGCCAGCAGACGACGTGGTTCCCCAGCAATTTTTAGGTCAGCTTTTCCAGGCCCCCCCCCCCCCGAAGGAAGCAGTGCCCTGACCCCTGAATAGGGGCTGCTTGATGTGCCGGCGCGGCCGAACTCCACTTTGGGCCACGAGATTTTTTGGCAGTGGAAGAACGACTCGAATTTGCCAATGGCTTACGGCATTGCCGCAAGCCTGCGGTCTCCTACGGTGCAACAGATGGGCGGGTGTCGACGGTGCTAATTCGGAGATCCATCCCACCGGCTGATCAACGGCATGCCAGGCAGAGCCTCTTCTCGACGACGATGCCGATGCGACGTTCCACCACCAACCGGCTGACCAGCGGTGTGCCAGACAGAGCCTCGTCACGACGGCGCCGACGCGGTGTTCCATCCGACCGAACATCCAGCGGAGTCCGCAGTACACTGTGCACGCGGCACAAGCGCACAGCGCCCTCACCTGGTTTAGCCCGCCGGTCGAGACGGTTGCCCGGGGTGTGGCCGCTGAGCAGAGCCCAGCTACGTGGAGCCACAGGTGAGAGTTGAGTGCCAGCAAGTGGACGCTAGGCGTAGTGTCAGCTGCAAGCAAGTGAGCGACCACTACGACCTTCACGTGAACCCACCGCTGACACCCCTACACCCCTCTGAGGGCACACACACACACACACGACCATGGAGATGGCTAGCTTCAGGTGCTTGTTGATCTGCCGTATGCTCTTTTACTTCCATAAAGCTTGTCCAATCCAATCTGACTTTCTTGACCTATGACTTGGAGACTTTATTTTTGTGGACCATCGTTTCTCAACAAAGGGTAATTCTTTCGAACTTCAGTCCTCCTTCATCATCCCAAGCTGCTATGTGGTCTGGCGCTCATTATGAACAACTTTCCACCAAAAGATCAACGCATTACGACATCCGCTTATGACTCCTTTTCGACTGCCTAACTTACTCAGATGTTCGAGCGATTTGTGGAGATGCATGGCCTTACCAATCCATCATTCGCCGCACTCTCATTTTCCTCGATGCTTCCTTTGCCTCCTTTCTCGGACTTGAAGTCTGAGACTGCAAACTTGCCCTTAATGTAACTTCATTTAAAATCGATCCGTCTCCTCCTCACCTCGGAGCCCGCTGAGGTTATCTGCCCGGCATGTGCAGAGAATTTCGTCTCGACTCAACACAGATGCCACTTGCTGGTGCCCCCCTGTTTTTGGTGCTGAAGCCTGTGGCTATGTCCCTCCCTGCTTCTTCATCTCCAGTCAGAGATTTTGATTTGTTTTAATTTGTGTATAGTGTGAGCGCCAAATTGTAACGCCCCACGATTTGCAAGGGCTGTTTGAATGAAGGGGTAATTTTGGCGCGCGGACCTCGGATGGTGATGGTGTAACTGCGTGTCAGTAAAAATGGCCGGTGTCCTTCCCCCTCACTGCCGCCGATACCCCGCAACTTGCCGTAACGCCCGCACCTCCCTCTCTCTACCTCGGCATCTCCCTCGGCCATTCCCCTGTAGCTGCCCACAACGATACGTTTGTAGCGAGCGTTAAAGACAGAACCGTCTATCCCAGACTATAAAAATCAGGATAAGACCAGAGTTATGGAAGAATTAATAATCAAAAGTCAAACGACCTGACAATCCCACTCATGCCAAGCGCGTCGCGTCGAGTTGTGTTCATTCCATTCAGTTAAACAACCAGTAAGTTCAAGAATGAGGAACAGGTAGGGAAAGGCAAGATAGTCTGGCGCCTCGGCACAGTACCCCCCTCCGAGACCGGAGGCCGGCGAAAACGACGCCGAAGGATGTGTGCAGGTCTAAAAGAAATGCGTGACCAACCGATCAGGAAAGTGTACATGACGACCACTACGAGTGATATATACAGGGTGCGTAGAACAGTGAATAAATCTGGTGGCGGATGTGTTGGAGTTGGTGGTGGCAGTCGGAGATGGCGGACAGGAGGGCAGAGGGAAAATACGGGACGGTGGAATAGAGGCTTCGTGGGGGGGAGCAGAAGGTTGAGGACCACAGGGCTCATCCGGAGGAGTGTCAGGGACGGCAGCCTTGAGGCGGTCCACACTCACGACCTCTTCACGATTGTCGCGCTGAATGCGGAAAGTCTTCGGCCCGCGAGAGAGCACCCGAACTGGGCCGTCATAGGGCGGTTCCAGAGGCCGGCGGACTCGATCACATCGGAGATAGACGTGAGAGCACGTTGCCAAGTCCTTCTCGAGATAAGACGGAGAGGCGGAGGACCTGGGAGGAACCGGAGAAAGTTTCCGCATAAACTGCCGGAGACGATGCAGGAGGTTTGTAGGATCCTCAACTGCACCTTGAGGGGTTGGCGAAATCATCTCACCGGGGAGTCGGACGGTGGAGCCGAACACCAGTTCAGCTGCGGAACAGTCAAGGTCCGGCTTGAGAGCGGAGCGGATACCCAAGAGGACCAGGGGAAGGTGATCCGTCCAGTTCTCCGGATCGGCCGCGGCGCGTAGGGAGGCCTTCAGCTGGCGGTGAAACCGCTCGACCATCCCGTTAGCAGCCGGGTGATAGGCTGTCGTCCGGATGCGGGTACAGCCTAAAAAGGAGAGTAAAGACTGGAAGAGATTAGATTCAAATTGGGCACCACGGTCAGTCGTGATTGTGGAGGGTGCACCAAAGATAGCAACCCAACGACTGAGAAAAGCCTTGACCACCGTTGGAGCAGCAATGTCAGGCAGGGGAATTGCTTCAGGCCACCGAGTGAACCGATCCACACAGGTGAGGAGATAGGAACAACCATTGGACAGAGGCAGGGGGCCTACAATGTCCAGGTGAACGTGGCTGAACCTTGCACCAGGGCCGGGGAAGGTACCAATGGGGGCCTTGTTGTGCCGCTGGATCTTGCTCCGTTGACAGGCAATGCAAGCCCGTGTCCATGCCTTCAGGTCCTTGTGCATACCAGGCCAGACGAAGCGGTCGGAAACCAGCTTGTCGGTTGCTCGACTCCCAGGGTGAGAGAGATTGTGCAGGGAGGAGAAAACTTTACGGCGGAGGGATGGCGGCACAAATGGACGATGGGAAGGGGTGGATACGTCGCATAAAATGGTGCCGTTGCCAGTCGTCAGTGGTAGTTCCTGGAGTTGGAGTCCGGAAACATCCTCATCACAGGGTGGACCGACACGGCGTTGTTCAGCGGCCATCTCAGCGAGGTCTATCCCGGGTGAAAGCTGAAGATGAGCAATAGAGGGCCTGGACAGTGCGTCAGCCACCTCATTCCTTGACCCGTCAATATGGCGGATGTCTGAAGTGAACTGCGAAATGTAGTCCAGGTGACGGATCTCCCGGGGGGCTTAGCTTGTCAGAGTGGGAAAGCATCGCAAACGTGAGTGGCTTATGATCAGTGAAAATTGTGAACTCTCGACCTTCAAGTAAATGCCGGAAGTGCCTTACGGCAAGATAAGCGGCGAGAAGTTCCCGTCCGAATGTGCTGTAGCGGGTTTCGGCTTTGGATAGTTTCTTGGAGAAGAAAGCCAAAGGCACGGTAGAATCCGGCAGACTCTGTTGAAGAACCGCGCCAACAGCAACATTGGAGGCATCGACCATCAAAGATATGGGTGCATCAGCGTGAAAGTGAGTCAGGAGGGTGGCGTCAGCCAGAAGGTCTTTTACCTGCTCAAATGACGTGAGTGCGGCTGATGTAAGTTCAAAGGTGCGTTTGGGACCTGAGAGGAGATCGGTCAGAGGTAGGATGGTATCGGCACAGTTCGGGAGAAACCGGCGATAAAAGTTCACCATACCAAGAAACCGTTGCAACTGACGCTTCGAGGTAGGGGGTGGAAAGTCCCGAATGGCGGCAACTTTTGAGGGAAGAGGCCGAATACCGTTTGAGTCTATCAGGTGACCTAAGAACTCAAGAGAAGTGGCTCCTAGGACACATTTGGAAGGATGCAGAGTGACACCAAACTGCTGAAATCGGTCGAAAAGCAGGGTAAGGTGATGGAGATGTTCCTCCACATCTCGACTGGCGACGAGAACATCATCAATATACGCATAAACAAATGGAAGGCCGCGTAAAACACGGTCAATGAAACGTTGGAAAGTTTGTGAGGCATTTCGGAGGCCAAATGGCATACGAAGGAACTCGAACAAGCCAAAAGGAGTCGTCACTGCCGTTTTGGGAATGTCCTCAGCCGCAATCGGAATTTGATGAAAAGCCCGCACCAAATCGATCTTCGAGAAAATGGTTTTGCCGAAAAGGGCTCCAGCAAAGTCCTGAAGATGAGGAACGGGGTACCGATCGGGCATAGTGATATTGTTTAGGGCTCTATAATCGCCACAAGGACGCCAATCATCCGTATTTGGTTTAGGAACCATGTGCAAAGGAGATGCCCAGGGACTGTCAGACTGTCGAATAATCCCTAGTTGCAGCATGTGGTCAAATTCTGCTTTAGCAGCCGCAAGACGCGCGGGAGCAAGACGGCGGGGACGAGAAAAAACGGGAGGACCAGTCGTTTTTATATGATAAACAATATCATGGGGAAATGAGGTGTCAGAAAAATGGGGCTTAGTAAGGGTAGGATATTTTGCTAAAAGTCTACGAAATGGACAGTCAGGGTTTGGGTCAAGGACGGAGAGCTGGTTAGAAACTGAGGATGGAGGAAATCCTTTGACAGTGAGGGTAGTTGCGCGATCATGGAGGCGAAGTTGTCTGCAATCCACCAGAAGGTCAAAGGCGGCCAAAAAATCAGCACCAAGGATAGCAGTGGGAACATCAGCAACCACAAATATCCAGGGGAATAATCGCCGGAGGCCGATATCCAGGGAGAGGGATCGAAATCCAAAAGTTGTAATGGGGGATGAGTTTACGGCCTGAAGGTAAAGACCATGGTTTGGGCAACGTCGGTCGGCTGGCGTGGGAGGGATAACACTAATCTGAGCGCCAGTGTCGACTAAAAAATGCCTGCCACTCGTGTTATCACTCACGTAAAATGTGCTACCCGTAGAGTTGCCAGAGAGCTCGGCCGCGTTTACTCTCCGGCCGAGGAGTTTCCCTGCGTGGACTTGAAGGAGCAGGGTGGGACACAGCGCCGCGCCTTATCGCCATAGTTGACATGATACCAACATAGGTTGGCGGTCCTGGGGCGAGAGCGGGAACGACGACGGTCACGAATGAAGGGACGTCGAGAGGGACCGGGGAATCGGCGCAGCTGCAAAGCGGCAACAGTCGCTGACAACTGGGCAATCTGCGTCTTTAGTTCAGCAAGGTCAGAGGTGGACACGTTGAGAGGCTGGGATACCTGAGCAATCGTCGGGGATGACAAACGCTCAACCTCCATCATACGGTCAGCCATCTCCGCTAACTTTGATATGTCTAGGTCGTCGGAGTCAGAGGCCAAGAT